GCAATGCTTGTCACTGTTGTTGCTGTGCTAATCGTTTGTCGTTTTCCGTTGATTTTTGGAACGATGGCTTGTTTCTCTAGCTTAAATGTTGTCTGCTCCTGGAACTTTCTGTTCTTTGGCTGGTTTCTGGTTTGCTTTAACAGTGGAATTAAGCCTTGGATATATTTCATCTTTAATGAGCAATTCTTTCAGGGTGCAAAATCACTACCGCAGAGGCTACTTCCGCGTTGTTTTAAAGTCACAGATGAAGTGGAAATGTTGGAATAGACTGGACGTCAAATCAAAACGCACACACCACAAACACACGAGAGTAGCCACGCGTGCAGTTCTCGGTACAGTCCAGCGAACAAATGACTCAATAAAAAAGTTTTACCCTGACAGCAACATGCACATTTTCCAGTTTCTTCTCTTTACGTCACTTATAAAGGGCTGAATAACGTACTACGCATTACCGTGACATCGCTTGTTTTACAAAGCATAGCCCGTGCAGCGAAGCACTCGTGCGAAGTGAAATTTTTGCATCTGAGTGGACCATCTTCGATCATCTGTTAAACTCATATTTGTGAATGCCAACGCAAGAGAAATTTTACGAATACTTTAGAAATGTACCTCATGGAAAAAAAAATGTTACGTGATCTATTTTCTGGGATGGATAGATTTTCTTACTCCATGATGCTTCGCGCGCGGGAGCTCCGCAAAAAATGATTTAATATAATCGGTAGCAGCACAGTAGCAAACACTATAGTGGAACCTCGGTTTACGATCACTCTGTTTATACGACCACCTTGTTTACACGAACGTATTCTTTCGACCCAAACGTAAAAGTCACCAAGTTATTTCATAACAGTGGAACCCCGTTAATGCGACCACCTCGTTAGTGCCACCAGGATTTTATGGCCCAACGGTGGTCGCATTAGCGGGGTTCCTCTGTTACTAATTTATTACTGATGAAGAACTGACATACTTCTGAAAAATAAGTGAAAAAACAGTTTTTTTACCCTTTGTCTCTCTTCGGTGTGATTATGTGCAGGACAAAACCTTAATCGATATACGGAACATTTGACTAGTACGGTAATAGATGATTTTGTTTTTAACACAAAACCATGTTCACAGGTTTCATCTATAACCTCTACAATTACCTTTAAAAAGCTGTATCATCCGGTTATGGAACAGCCCGAAGGGTAAAAAAGTGATTGCTTTTACTGTTTTGCAGTCCTTGTAACCTTACAACATTTTTTTTCAAACACATTCAGAGCTCCTTCAAAGCAACATTCCCTTGGTACCAATCGACAGATGGATCTTGCACAGCTTTCAGGTGTTAATCAGTGATGAACATGGGTACCCAACGACCATTTTTGTTTTTAAATGCGTCAGAAGTGTCTGAGATGTTTTTCACTTTGATTTAGAAGCCTGTTTGGTTAATTTGAAGCTGCCCTTAAAACGTTTGATCTGTTCCGATGTCTTAATGGTACTTTGGTCGTCTCGAACGTTTTAGATGGTTATCCTGATGGGTGCGGAAGACTGAGTTTGAGGACATGGAGTAACAGTCCTTTCATAAGCGACGTCTCGTTATACCGAAAATGTCAGAAGACTTTTTTTGTAACAATAATCACGATATCTTGGAAATAAAATATGAACTGAAAAAAATATCTGAAAAACGTAGGAAAGTTAGTAAAAAAGACTCCGCATATCTTAGGCGAGTTTAACAATTATTCCGAAATTTTTAGCCTTTCTGGAGCTTTAGAGATTTCGAGCTAGTATCAATTTGCTCTTCGTAACAGTTATTTTGCAGCATCAAGTCATTAGGTGTCCCTGTAATGAGATGCAGTCTAACTTCGTGCCATTGCGCATTTCTTGAAGCCACCTGAGCCGCTAATGACATACAGCAGGCAGTTGACCAAAATGGTCAAACCAATCGACTGAGGAGCTTAATTTTTACTTAATTTTGTTTTGGCTGATTGCCACATTACAAATGGCTGCCATCAAAAAAATTGTTCAAACTTCCATTTCTAAGACGAAGGGCCTTGTATACAAGTTTTTCCTCTCGTGTCAGGTGTTTCGCAAACCAGAACGCTCTCCATTCGTGGTGTAACTTTCCAGGAAGAATGCCGATTTACTAAACGTAGGGCATAAGCTAATTCAAGTTAACCAATGTCGTTTTATACTGAGATCGTTAAGGAAGGAGTTATACTCTGTCAGAATTAGACCATCCGTTTCAAGGGTTTTATCCCTGGTTTGACCTACGGTAGGGTAAAAGACGGAATGAGTTTGCGGAATGACATGTGGCGTGGCTTGCGAAATAACATAATATGCGGAATGTAATATATGCAGAATGACTAAAAAAAATAAATTAAACTGAAAATTGTACCCGTTTTTGGCTCCAATCAATTTGCAAACGCAGCGACTTTTTTAACGTTGCAGGCTCGACTACGATGAGAATAAAAAAAGCCACGAAGATAGGTTCCTTGATTTCTCACTCTCGATTAGCCTTTTTCGTTTTGGAAAATCACTCTTCCTTCTGCTTTAAGTTTGCACGATTAATTTCACAGGTTTTTTTTTTACATTTATTTGTAAAGTAGAACCCCGATATCTCGAACTCGGATATCTTGAACTCCCCACTAACTCGAACTAAGTCCAATTTCCTTTGAATTTCATCCCACTTTTCATTCATTTTTACTCGGTTAACTCAAATTCGGATACTCGAATTCCCCTCTGACTCAAACTAAATTTCCTTTCCCTTGATCAAAAAGTCACTAAAATATACCCCGATAACTCGAATTCTGCTTCTTGTAACTCCACTCAGATGCCATCCCATTAATTAGTTCTTCTTTTTGTATAATGCCGGGTGAAAACACTAAAAATAAGACTAGTCAACACTAAAAATCACGTTTTATCACTAAAAATGGTTAATGATTTTACCGTTTCCGATGAAATAAGTTAGATTTGTACTAGCTGCTGAAATCAGTAACTATCAATTTTAACATGGCAATCGACCCCGATTACTCGAACCATCGCCGTAACTCCAGCTGTAACTTGAACTGTTTTTCGTTTCCCTTCAGAGTTCGAGTTACTGGGCCGGTTCTACTGTATTTGAAACCGCGTGAGAAGTCTTTCTTTTTGAGACGGTGGGTTGCGTGATCGTGACATAATATATTCAGAGATCAAGCAAATCCGACTTCACGTTCAACGAGCTTTCTTTTGCCTCTAGCGTTACGATAAAGAGTGACCCTTGATTTGAGTTTAGTGAAGTACAAGTTATATACCCCTAAATGAAAGAACAGACACTTGCTACACAATGCGTCTGCACGTATTTACAAGGCTTATTTGTTTATTTCATTTGGGACTACCGAGTCTACCATTTCCTAGCAGCCTTTAAAGCTTACAGCTGCTAGAAGTGATATCGATTTAAATGTTTTCAAAACATAGCTAGTATTAACATCTTAATGATGCTGACAGTTTCGATGACTGTCAGCCATCTTTATCAAAACTTGGAAATTAAACATTAAAAGTGTCAAAAGCCTTAAATAGGCTTCTGAGGGTGTTAATTATTGCGGTAAACGCGCAAAGTCACTCTGTAGACGCCCTCCCAACCCCTCACCCCCCTCCAACCCCTTGGTTTGGAGGCGGAGATCACTTGTGTCCATATGGGAGAAAGCTGATAGGCTCCCTCGTCCCTGTTCATAGTAGGAGTGTTCCATCTAATATTGCTCTCCTTGATCCATAGTCAAGGAAAGCATATGGTGCCCATAAATCACCCATAACAGACCACGTCTGTCAGAACAATCATTATGAATTGGGAAGCGAGTGAAATAGTTGAGCAGGAAAGCGACAAGTTTAAGCGATGGATCAAGGAAAGCATATGTATTAGATCGAACACTCCAACTATGAACAGGGACGAGGGAGCCTATCAGCTTTCTCCCATATGGATACAAGTGATCTCCAACCTCAAACCAGTGGGAGAGGGGGCGTCTACAGAGTGACTTTGCGCGTTTATCGCAATAATTAACACCTTCAGAAGCCTATTCAAGGCTTCTGACACTTTTAATGTTTTCCAAGTTTTGATAAAGATGGCTGACAGTCATCGAAACTGTCAGCATCATTAAGGCGTTAAGACTGGCTATGTTTTGAGAACATTTAAATCGATATAACTTCACTAGCCTGATGAATTTCTTCAAGAATGCTAGAAGTGATTTCCTCCATAATCCTCGTGAATTTCACCGTGCCGCTCTGCCTTGTTGGTTTGAGCCAGCAAAGCGGTTGCCCCTTCAAACAGAGGCACCCAACGAGAATATAGTTCAAAACCACTTAAACATAACATTGTTAAACGTATTTTACTATGTAAACGGTAGATACAGGTATATTTTTATCCCCTATAAATTTTTCATCTGTTCAGATTTCCTAGCTGATTAAGTCTAGTGATCCGAAAATTATAGGGATCAAAACTTACCTTTTCGAAAATTTCAGAAAAAGGCTCCCGAAAATTTTTTCTTTGCTGGTAGAACTAATTCCATGTTCATAGACTTTCTAAAAATTCTTAATTCCAGTTACATCAGTTTCAGCCGTAGCACCAAAGTAGAGGAATATCATCATATTGACCTAGCGCTCGCACCAGTGGTTACCAAATATCAATTCAATAGTCTTTCGTGGTCAAGAAAACCAGGTAAAACATAAAACGAAAAGTGCAAAATAATGTAGGCTTAACATTCCAAATTTGACTAGACAGCTCGATATAAAAAACGCAAAAGGTGCATATTTTGCAAATCAGACGAGGAGAAATGTTTGAAATGAAATAAGAACACTTGGTTATATTAAAGATTAGTTTAATAAGGTGGTACAAGTTTTGTACTGTAACGTTCAGGCCTCAATATTAAATTAACAAGTTCAAATTTATTTCTTTTTTTATTGCCTGGTTTATTATTAAAAAATATATATTATCCTGACTTAATCAGTGTAATATCAGCTGACTGTCAAGTTTAAAGCTGAAAACGATGCCACAGTTTTTAGGTTGTCTCGTAAAATGTTTCTACTTCGTCTGGAGTAAAGTGATAAGTGCCTGCCAGAAATGTCTTGGTAAAGGTGCTTCCATCGCTGTACCCACTCGGTGCACTGTAAGTGTAACCAAGGTAAGAATAGGAATTGCTACTGGATGACGCGTAGTCGTCAATGTAAATGTCATGGCCTCCCCCGAATTTTGGTCCACCAGACAAGCAGTCGTGTATGGAGTATCCGTAATAACTTGCACTATATGGTCCTGTCTGAGGCAGTTTCAAGGGCGCCCATCCTGGCTTGTTAGCCAGCGAGAAAAGGAATGCCTGGGAATCATATCGATACTGGCAGCCGTAACCTGTTGGGAAAATAAGAAATGAAAAGGATGATCAATGCGCAGACTTCGTTCAAAAATTCGAATTCATACAGACAAGAAAATATGCTGATACTGCTAGTAGTAGTTTAACTCCCTTTAAAGAAGCAAAGATATTAGTCTCGAGAAAAGTGTTTACTTTTGAAGGAATAATTATAAAATGGTACTTATCTGAAAAGCTAAACGCCAAAAATATTGAAAAGAGCGATAAATTGAAGAATAAAATTCAGTTAGCAGCACCCCGATATAACAAACCTCTGTACGAAGAATTCCTTGATGTAACTAACAATTATGGTCAAGTATATGGAAAAGAATCTCGATAAAACAAAACCTTGTTATATAGCAAACAAATCGGTCGGTCTCTTGATCCTATCCTTAAAACTCAATTCTTGGGGTTCTTGTAAAAATGATTATTATATGGCTGAGTCTGTTTTCGCCATGCGATTGGTCAATTTGAGGTCCGTAACTTGCTATACGTACCAAAATTTTTAAAGAAGATGCTCATTTCGGAGCTCTAAATCTCTTTTCCTCGGAAAAAAAGGTTTAAATAAAGTTATAAGACGCCTGTCAACCTTGAGGGCTTAAATGTTGACTTTGGCCTTCAACATTTTAAACTGTGTGTTTTGTGAACGAAGGCAATGAAGAGGATTCTAGTCAGTGTTTGACAATTTTGTCGTAGTACACAGTTAAGAAGACGAAAATCAACTGGCAGAGATTCGAGATGTTTTGCCTGAGAGAAAATGGGTAATTTCTTCGACAAATATGATAACAAACATACCTGCACCCGATCATCTTGACAAGCTTCTTTGCCATTTGCAGTGTTTTTTCAAAGAGCAACGAAAGAAAGATAGAAGCGAGTTCGAACCAGACGCAATGTCCAGTTTTCAAAGGACTCCAGCGTCACATTAACGAGTGAATACTTATATTGCTCTTAGTTTTGACCGAATAAACTTTAAAATGCGTCTGTAAACCCTCAGGAATGGGATGTTCACTTTGCCTTTGCAAATTTTAACCTAGTTTTGTTTTAATGAGAACGAAGCTGATGTAGAAACTGAATCATAACTTTACCGAGGAAGAGAATTCTAGTCAGTGTTTGAAAATTTTAACGCAGATCACAGTTGAAGACCAGAATGAACTGGCAGAAAGAGAGGTTTTCCCAAAAACAATTAACGAGCGAGTCTTTCGACAATGACAACAAACTTACCTTGCAAAGCTTCTTTGCCTTTTGCTGTGTTTTTTTTACAAGGACAAACGGGGGAAAGATGGAAACGACTTCTAGACAGACACATTGTCCGGATTCAAAAATACTCCAGCCTTACATTTAAGAGCTAAAACTTACAGTGCTCTTAGTTTTGTCCGAATAAACGTTTCAACATACCGAATTTGTTTTTACTTTCTCAGAAAGCCTTTGTTATGTGCTATTGTTTTCGTGCGCCTATAGAAACTTTCTTTTTTGACGCCTGTCAAATAACTGTCAAATCGTGCGTCCTACACTTATTTCCGGTCCCCCAAACAGGAAGAAGCCATATAATAAACATCTTATTAGCCTCCTTTTTTCGGTCCCTACTGTAAATTACGGATCCTAGTTTTTTTCCATCGATTTATGGCCCGCGCGCTTCGCGCTTGGGCCATAAACTCCATCCGTAATTTACCGTACGGACCGAAAACTCGGCTAATAAGAGCTATTTACGATGTAGAACTAAAATGAAATATAAGGATAAAATTACTTACAAACTACAATATAAACTCTTAAAAGATACGATAAGACTCTAAATGAAAAGGATACAAAATGTATTTAAAAGATATAACATGAATTTACATTAATCACCTTTAAGTAATTGACTACAGCATTTAAAACATAAAACAGTTTAAAAAAAGAACATTTAAAATCGTGGTTGTGCCTGGGCACCGACTGGACTCTTACTGACAATAGGTGAGATAAAATCATCTAAAGTAAGATTTCATGCTGTTAGTCAGGTTGGTATAAGTATACGTAGCTTTGATCAAAATTCTCTCTTAGTTTATTTTTTGTGCAAACAGTAACAACAAAAGACTTGATCACTAAGTGGTAATTTTTCCCCATCTAACTTGCACTTTTTACATACGTACAGTTTTCACTTTAGTTGTAAGAGCCGGAAAGGGAAGCCTTAGGAACTTGAGATCAATTCACAATCGCGTTCTAGTCATTTTTACTGATTTTTTAAACTACAACAGCACTTGAGTGGAATATACTTTGCCTGAAAAACACTTTAGAGAGGAACAATTCTGGAAAGAAAATACGTCAGCACCGGGGGGGGGTAACTCTAATGTTTTCCACCTAAGTTTCTTGACCCACTCCGCTTGCTGGTATGACGTCACATAGTAACGGGCAAGAGCTTCGGGTCGCTTGTGCAAATTAGCAAGAGATACGATAGCTATTTGAACGACAGAGGTCGAGCAAAAGCTAAGAAGCTAGCAAATTGACCACTCCAGAAAATACCATAAGATACCATAATGTTCTTTGTTTGTCACCCCAAAATTTTGCATAAGCATTGTCTTCAGTTTCTCTTGGGAGATAAAATGGCCCCAAGAGAAACTGAAAACAATGCTTATGCAAAATTTTGGGGTGACAAACAAAGAACATTATGGTATCTTATGGTATTTTCTGGAGTGGTCAATATCGCTATATATCGCTAATTTGATCAAATGAGTGTGAGCTTTGCTGTTGCTATAATCTGCTTGTGTAAAACGTTTTGATATTTTGTGTCCGTGATTATATAATTTTGTTAATTTGTTTTGCGGGCCGTGTTGCGGGATCGCCATCTATTTCACGGGACCGGCAAGGTCATCAAAACTTAGATCTTTTTTTTCTCTAAAATAGGCAAGGTCTAGTCTCCAGAATAGGAGGTTCCATTCACAGATCACTCATGTTTATATTTCATCCATTTTTTGGCTAATTAAATGGGCCTAACTTCATATCATTCCTTTCGAGTGTGGGCCTCTGTTGATCTCCTAATTCTCCACCGAATTCAGTAAAGCTAGTTCGATCGATTGTCTACATCGAGTCGGCCCGTTGAACCCGAAATAATGCGAAATAGCTTTGAAATACGCCCTTAAGCTAATTTTCCTTAAATCGATATTTGAATTCATGATAAATACAGCTCCACCAGCTTCAAACAGCGTCTCTGGCGGAGAAAAATTGTTTTGATATAACAAAATTAATTTTTCAAATCATGTGTGTCACTGTGGTGCAGTGGTCAAGGTGTTGCTTGCGCGTGCAGATTAAACCGGAATCGACTCCCGGCGATGCCTTTTTTCTGTTTCTTTGTACCATTTTTTTTCCCTGTTTGGTCTCTTTTTTAAAACACTATTTTTTCTTTTGGCTTTTTTTTTTCTTTATTCTTACTGCTGACCCTGCTAGTCATGCACTTGGATCACTTTATATTTTAAGCTTAAGTCCGGAGTTTTATTTTGGCAAAAGGATTTCAAAAGATCGTGATCTGCATACTGGCCAAGCTTACGATCAGATAAAAATCATAAGCTGTCAAGACAAGCCCCTCCTCTGAAACAGCTGAATTTTTTTCAATGTTAGTTGACATCGTGACAAATAACACACAGTACACCATAAACTGTATTAATTTACACACGACATCCACCAGTGACCCACTGGTGAAAGTTAAACTTGCCTTTTGTACATCGTCTTAATCATCAACATTATTATCCTAAAATCTTCACTGAGTTTGCCTCCTAGAAATAATTAAACGAAACCTTTTATTGGCTTTCGGGATTTAATTACAGAATTACAGGTGTATGCCCAATACAGTATTAAAATGCGCCGGAAAAGCAACAAGATTCAATGCTCACAGTCTCTCACAAATTCCTGTCATTTAGCTTCCTCTTTCAACGCTACAGCTAAGCGAACTTTGAGAGGAATGATATGGGGTTCCACTGGCTCTGAAGAGCTGAAAATACGCATAATGTAAAGTATAATACATCCTTTCATGAACCTCCTCTTGCTGTGCACTGGCCCTCAAAAGTGTGACCGGTCGGTATGATTGCTCGTAAAGTTTGCTCATCGATAGAAAGGAATCTTTAAAATTCATTACACCATTGGACATTTCATTCCCATTCATAACACCATGATGGCGGTTGGTCGTAGTTGTAATTGCTCCGCTTCAATTTCCTTTTTATTTTTGTTCTGTTGTCTAATTCGTTCGTTGTGTCTTCCGAGTACGTTCCTTTTTGGTTTTTGTCGTGTTTTAAGCGATGGTGAAGTTGCGATGAACATTGATGAAGTGGATTTGGACCTTGCAATTTGCTCGTCATGGATGATATCGACCCGCCTTCTTGGATTACAATCCTCAAGGACGAGTCGCTACTTTACTTCGCGAATACCGTACACACCAAACTCTATTTCTACTTTCAATGTTACTCGACTTCGGCTGGCTACCAGCGGTGACATCAATTCTAACCCTGGTCCTTCTATTACATCGTTTACAACAAATCGCTTTCGGCAGCGCCATGAAATGCAACGACGTCGTAACCCTTGTAACCTCGTGCAAATCAAGTATGAATCTGATCTTCAGCTTAGAACACCGACAACCAATCTGACTTTGCCAGGATTGGAAGTCATGAGTGGAATTACCGACAGGGTTTGGCCTTTCAATACTGTGGAAAGTCGAAGAACTTTTCCTTCTAAATTTAAAAATTTGCATACTGCTGTTAACAAGAATAATCTCGAGCAGATTTGCATTACTTCGAACAGGAAACCTGTTATCTCCAACAAATCTACTTTATCGGCTCCGAAGCTTTGTTTGTTTGGCCTCCTGAATTGCCGATCAGTCCGCAATAAGTATCTCTCTATCAAGGACTATGTTGTGAACAAGGGTTTTGATATTTTTGCTATTACCGAGACCTGGCTCAACACTGGGGATTATGATAATTTCGTAATCGGAAGTCTTATCCCAAATGGCTATTGCTTTTTACACTCTGCTCGTGATGGAAGAGGTGGTGGCGTCGGATTGCTTTTCCAAAGTTCGTTGCCAGTTAAGCAGACATCAAAGGTCTATCTGGACACCTTCATTTCCTTTGAAGCCATCGAAAGTGATGTTAAGGTTTTTTCGCAATCTGTTTCCATCCTTATTGTCTATCGTCCTCCACCGTCATCTGGAAACAATCTTTCTACTGAGCTTTTTATGAATGAATTTTCGTCGCTTTTAGAATCCTATATCACTAAAACTGGTTCACTTGTAATCGCTGGTGATTTTAATTTTCATATTGATGATACAACTGATACTGCGGCGGCTAATTTCCTGAGCTTATTGGAGTCATTTGATTTACAACAACATGTTCGTAGTTGCACCCAAAGAGCTGGACATACTTTGGATCTGGTCATCACTCGTGATGCTGAATACATTTTAAATGCTATTTCAGTTGATGATTCCTCAGAGATATCGGATCATTACACTGTTTGTGCTGATCTTCGTTTTGTTAAGCCTAATTGGGAAAGGAAGCGTATTTGTGGTCGGAAATTTAAAACCATCAACTTCGAGCATTTTCTGAATCATCCAATGATTTACTTACGCTGCTTCACTTGTATAATTCGGAGTTATCTAGTGTTTTGGATAAGCATGCGCCATTAAAATCGCGCATGGTTACCATACGTCCCGCTGCTCCATGGTTTAGTGAGGAGATTAAACTGGAGAGAAGAGTTCTTCGCCGACTGGAAAGGAGATGGCGTAGGACTAGATTGCGCGAAGATCGTCTGCGTTTTATTGAACAAAATCGTATTGTCAATGAGCTGTTACTCTCTGTCCGCTTACAATATTACACCAAGCTTATTGATGATAATTGCCTTAATCAGAGGAAACTGTTTGGCATTGTCGGTAAGTTGTTACATCGGAGTCCTGCACTGCAGTATCCATCTTGCTCTTTCGTGGCGGATCTTGCAAATAGATTCATTGGCTTTTTTGGTGAGAAGATTACTACTATTCGACATGAACTGGAATCGAACCCTATGCAGGTAACTTATTTATCTAATGAAGTCACAGTAGCAACAACTAGACTCCATCGTTTGATCGTGAGCTGTCCTTCATATTCGACCTTACTTCAGATTGTGCACCCTTTGGCATCAAAGTCTTGTGAACTTGACCCTGTCCCCTCTAGAATACTCCTTGGTTGTCTTGATCTCCTTTGCCCTGTGATCTGGAAAATTGTTAATCTGTCTTTGGAGACCTCTGTCATGCCCACTGAACTTAAAGAAGCTGTAATTCGTCCTTTGTTGAAAAAGCCGAGTCTGGATTATCAAGAATTTAAGAACCTCACCTTCTTGTCCAAAGTCATTGACAAAGTAGTGGCTTTGCAGCTTGTTGACTACATTGACAACAATGGTCTGTGTGAAGTCTTTCAATCTGCCTACCGTGCTCATCATAGCACCGAAACGGCTCTACTCAGAGTCTACAATGACATTCCTATGTCCACTGACAATCAAAAATCTGTTGTTTTGGTTCTACTGGACCTGTCTGCTGCTTTTGATACAGATGATCATTCTCTTCTCCTTGCTAGACTATCTACCCGTTTTGGCATTTGTGACCAGGCACTGGACTGGTTTCGCTCATATCTATCTGATCGCACTCAGTATGTCAGAATCCAAGATGTCTCTTCTGATGTGCATGCCTTACCTTATGGAGTACCTCAGGGTTCCGTGTTGGGCCCCTTGATGTATTCTTTGTACACTTCCAACTTAGGTGATATTGCAAGATCTCATGGTCTATCTTATCACTTTTATGCCGATGACACACAGCTATATTTATCTTTTGAAACGTCATCGCCTGGGGATTTTTCAACATGTAAATCTGCTCTTGAAGATTGTGTTAAAGATATTGACCTTTGGATGTTAAATAACAAGCTGAAGCTGAACAGTGGGAAGACTGAAATTATAGTTTTTTCATCCTCCTATCGCCCACGTCCTGCGTTAAAAAACCTGGTGATTGCCCCTAACACTGTTGACTGTTGAACTACTGCTAAAAATATTGGGGTTATTTTTAATAACACTCTATTGATGTTGCCGCACGTTACGGCTGTTTGCAAGTCTTCGTTTATTCATTTACGCAATATTTTTAAGATTCGCAAGCTTCTTTCTTATGATACATGTAAAACTCTAATTCATGCCTTTGTTACTGCAAGGATCGACTATGGTAACTCATTGCTCTACGGTCAGCCTAAATGTATCTTGAAACGTTTACAGAGTGTCCTAAATAGTGCTGCTAGGTTCATTCACCTTACTAGTAGATATGAACATGTTACGCCGTTGCTTATTCAACTTCATTGGCTACCAATTGAACAAAGGATAACCTTTCTACATCTAAATTTAATCTTAAAACTAATATGGTGGCCGGTCTTTTACTATTGCTGCACCTTCTGTTTGGAATGCACTTTCATTCGAACTTAGATCTTGTAATTCCCTTTCTTCTTTTAAATCTAAGCTTAAGATTTGGCTTTTTAAAGTTTGTTATGATGTTGTAGTATAGAATGATGATGTTTTCATAGGATGACAATGTAGTTTTGTAGTTTTGTAGGTTTAGGATTTTGTTGTTATTTTTATTATGTTAAGAGCTTTTGGACCATTGGGAATTAGCGCTCTATAAATATTGTATATTATTATTATTATTATTATTATTATTATTATTATTATTAATATTATTATTATTATTATTCATTCCAAAAAAGTACTTAAGTCTAGTTGAGAAACCTTAAAATATCCAATTCCAAGAAATCGGAACAGTATATCCGTGACAAAATCGACATTTTTATTCGTCTCTTCGGTGAACACTTTGCTCGCCATTTTGAAAGTCACTGACGCGAGACGCGACGTCATACTGGCAGGCGGACTGTACCACAGATTTCCTTGGAGACACACCCCCCCCCCCCTCCCCCTTCCCTGGTCAGCGCAGAATTTAATTGTCGGAGAATTCGCAGCACGAATACGATCGACGGAAAACGTCCCAATTTGAGTTTTATGGGGTACGTGTACATAAGGCAACGATTTTCTTCTTCTAATATTTGGTAGGGATTTTTCCAATTTAAACCCGGAAAAATTCACCTCCATTTGGCAAATTGACCGAAATGGAATAAGGGCGATAAAGTTTGAAACGGCGTGAATGCACTTTTTTTAGTCCTCTTCGTGGTAAAAACATTAATTTTCTACTTCAAATAATTCCTTGGTCAATTTTACATGCTAATATGCCCAGTTTTGGAAAAAACCAAACCACTTACCCCATGAGAGGCTGGTGTAGCCTCCAAATATGTATTTCCCGCCGACTGTTATGACTGTTACAGTTGGTCCTTTGTTGTCACAACGGCTATGAAAAGTACTGACAGCCCAGCCGTCCACAGACGCACGCCAACAACACTTCCATCGTGAAGATTTGCTCTGAGCAACTGGTTGGAGCCATGTGCTTAAATGAGTTAAGTAGTTAACATCATTTCCCACAATAGCGGAGTCTGTCAATCCTCCTACGAGATAAAAAAAAAGAAAAAAAGAAAAAAGGGACAAGGGCAGTAGTGATGTTGGAGTTACAAGGAGACTTGACTTATGTCCTATTGAGACGTAAGAAAACTATCTGGAAATGCAAGACTTGCAAGATAAAATTTAGATAATAATTACATTAGTATAGGTAATAGAATGATTTGTAGTGATACTTGGCATAAATACGACGAGTAATATTTCGAAATTGTTAGACAATTTTGAAATATCACGCCAATCAAATTGCAGAAATTTCTCGTATAAATTTCGAAATTCTACAAATATATTCATGTCCTAAAGTATTCCTACCCATTTCTCAGTGTTTGAATATCAGATGAAACTGTCATTCAATTGATATCTGACACATGGTGTTGCTTATTTTTATTTTTATAATCAGCTTTTTTTTAGGAAATGAATAGACTCATTAAGCTTACTTGCAAGATTTCAGGTCCGTTCCACAAATACATACAAATATTATATTTTTCTTGTTCGTTTTCACGAGACAAATTCTCTGGAAAGATCCTTGTTAAGTTAAACTTACTTTCTTAACATTTTAACATTAAATGCAGATTCTATATCTTTAACAAGTTACATTTTTCGCGAATCGTGCCTAGAAATCAGGGTCGGCGGGGGGATACTGGTAGTGGTATACCAGTATACCCGAAAAAAATTCGCCAAAATACCCAAAATTCATCCAAATATACCCAAAATTATACCCACAATCGGCGAGAAAATGAGTTGAGACACTTCGCCCAAAACTGGGCTTTTTACGTTTTATTAACTTCAAAAGGAGGAAATATAGCTTTCCTCCCACATCCCCTCCGTGCAGTGTTGTGCACTTGTTCTAGCTACCTATAGAAAACAACAAACACCCCAACTTTGAATGGAGGGGACAGGGGAGGGGTGCGGATTCTTTTGTTCTTGAAAGTTACCCTATTTAAGTACAATGTCTCAACAATTTTGTCGCCGATTGTCTGAATCTCAAAAGTGGCCGTACGTCCTTTAGAAAGTTAATTAAATTCATTTCTTTATGCTGGGATGTAAGACCCCTGGTGGCTTTTTATTTGTGGTGTTCGACTTCATCATACCTATTTTAGAACATTTAGAATAAGGCGATTTCGTTATTTTCAGTGCGTGACATTTCGTGTCACGCTTAACCGTGCCTTGACATCGTGCGATGTGGCGCGTCGCGCACGATTTCTTATTCTCCCCTTTATCGAAACGCATCGAAGCAAAGAACAAAGTGAAAAGGATAGGAAACTTAATAGATTCTGGCAGTAAAGTAGTTATAATGGCTAAAATTGCTCTTTAGGAGGAATTTCCACGAGTAACCACGAGTAACCACGATGAGTATAAAACAAAATAATCTGATTATCTTTTAAGAACAAAGTTGGTTTAACTCGTGGTTACTCGTGGCCAGTCTCCTCCTGAGCTCATGGTTTCTACTGTAAAGTACATTCTTCAAAGACCCTTATGGGTATATGGGCAACGAATGTGCTGCACAAATGTAGCGATGCTATGCAGCTTTGTTGTGCGTTAGAAGTTGGAACACTTTCCCCGAAAATTCTCCTGCGCATAGCAATCATGGCTATTTTATCGTCCATCCCACCCTTATCAAGTAGCCAAACTTCAAATAAACACTTCGAACTTACTAGGGATATATTCAAATACAATATATTATCTGCCATCGATTCCTACCGATCACACTTAATTACCAGAGGAAAATCAATCATTCGGTACGTGGGTATGCTGCGTAATTACTTGAAAACAGTACCGAGTACAAAGATTGTCAAAACTAATTTTCCCTCGAAAAACAGAGGAAAGGGATTATATGGGTATCTTATGTATCTTCTGAAAAACGACCCGGTGAATATAGTAATCTCAACTAGTTACCGTCTCCTAACCGGTGCTAATAAGACAACAGCGCGTAGATTTCGATTCAGACAATCGGCGACAAAATGAGTTGAGACACTTCGCCCAAAACTGGGCTTTTTTACGTTTTATTAACTTCAAAAGGAGGAAATATAGCTTTCCTCCCCCATCCCCTCCGTGCAATGTTGTGCCCTTGTTCTAGCTACCTATAGAAAACAACAAACACCCCAACCTTGAATGGAGGGGACAGGGGAGGGGTGCGGATTCTTTTGTTCTCCGCGAAGTTACCCTATTTAAGTACAATGTCTCAACAATTTTGTCGCCGATTGCAGGTATACTTTATCCCTGAAATTCAAAGAAAGTGATATACCGAATACCCGTATTTAAGCTGCAATATACCGCATACCCGATTTAAAAAGCCCCTGTATACCGTATACCCAAAAACCCTGGCCGACCCTGAAAAATTAAAACTGTGAGTCAGAATCTAACTTACATAAAGAGCGAATGTGAGTCATGTACTACTGGTGTGGATCATTAGGACCAATTATCCAACTGTTGTTGGGAAGAGGAAGGAGACTGAGCTCGTCCACGCGGCTAAACCAAGCCTACATAAGATCACCAACCTGCATAATTTAAGTTGCACTCAAAGCCATCCCCGATAAAACCTTGTTGAAGGTCACAAGTGCAAGTGAAGGAACCGCGATTATTTGAACAGGTCGCAAAACGATGGCAATAATACTTGTCCCTGCTACACTCATTCAGATCTATATAATACGAAAACATATATTAATTAATTTATGCAGCCCGTTTCTCTTGACATCAATGGGGTTAACCGTTAGCCGTCAAACGGCCTAAACTGTAATCGTCAACCGTTAAAAAAAGATATTTTTTACCGTCAACCGTCAAAAATGCAGATTGGTATTTTTCGTCACAAGGCATTTTTATCTTGCTTTTTCTTAGTATTTCTTCTGATCGTCACGAAATTCATATTCTTAAGGTGTTTCGATATAGTTTTTCATAGGCCATACCGTTTTTTTTTTCGATCGCATCAAGAGTGATTTTATCCTTCTGATCGCCATAAAATTGTGACTAATGATTGACTATAGATTGAAATTTGTCAAAATGTAAGTTTTAGTAAAATCAATATTACTATGTTTATTGTTGCCATAGTAACATCGATTTTACTTAAAACTACATTTTCACAAATTTCAATCCATAGCCAATTACTGGTGAAAATTTTATAGCGATCGGACAAGGAAAAAAACACTTTTAAGGCGATTGAAAAATATCGGTGTGGCCTCTGAAAAACTGTATCGAAACACCTTAACAGAAAAATCAGCCTAATTTACCATTCGGGTAGAATCCCTTTTAGACGGAGAGATTGACCTATTACCGAAAAATAAACTGTGAACTGGACGCAGCCAAAGACTCTCATGAATGACAACTAATCATTTTCTCTTTTTTATTTTTAAATCAGTTAAGTATAAATATTTACATTTCTTTACATAGGTTAAGGCTTATTCGCTTTAGTTTTTTGGTTTTAAGTAATTAAAAGGATATAAAAAGGACGCTTCGCTTCAACCTTGGCTTTTTTGGCCTTGGCTAAATCTATAAATTATTTGTTAAACCAAAACCTTACAACTAAACATACATTAAAAACCATACCTTTCTTACAAGTATACTGATGACAGTCGCTGCATTTCACGTCATTCCATTCGTATTTGTATTCAACACCAAGTGTATGCACACAGTCCTCATCCCGAAAATTGTTTGGCTGGTTTGTTGCCCAAGCTGTAAAGTTCCCGGTACCACGATCTGCCCAAGTAAAGGAACCCTCAGTAAAAATATCATTCAATCCCAGCCAGGATTTTGCTCCATTGTGAAGATGCTGTAAAAATACATTTTCCTCATTGTTTTGGACGTCAACAAAAACCGAGTTTTCTTGTCGGCATTTATCCAGTGCTGTGGTCCAATTTTGACAATTCTTACTTATGAAATAGCAAAAACCCTTGAAATAGTTCCAGCCAGGATCACAGATATCTATAAAGTCAGACAAAGATGATAATTTTTAACTTTTGTTAACTTCCTTATTATATTGTTACTTTACTTTTAATAAATAATTGTATCCGTCGTCGTAATTTTTATGTCATCTACCATGAAACATTGTTAGTAATTGAGGAGGCTTAATTAACATTAGGCTAGATACAGTTTCCTTTAGGCCTCTTCGTCATACTTACTCCATTTTTGTATCTTTTTTTGTTGTTGTTGTTCTTTTAATCACTTAGCTGTGGCAATTAAGATAAATTATTACTAAAATACAAATAAATAAAAAAATACCTAGATATAGATCGTTTTCACTGTCACGCAACAAAAAAAATAAATTGGAAACCGTCCAGCGGAAGAAGCCAAGAAAATGAAATGTTATAAACGACTAATATATAAACAAGTTGTCCAAGTCTCAGGTCTTTGTGGCCCACAGTTTGTGAGTGATTTGCCGAAACGTTTCACGCACCTTTGTAGAGCTTTACATGGAGACGCCACATTGGTGCACCGTTTTGGTGCACCAATATGGCCGCCGGAAATCATCAAAAACATCTGGAGTTCACTTTTTCTATAAAGGCGCTTTCTTTTTACTCGAGAACTAGCATACGTACGTATAAACATATCTTCTAATACTTGAAGTGGTTATACTGCTGAAGCGAAAATCAAGAGGAGAGACTTTTTTCAGCGAGACAGCATTCCTATTTTAATGTCAAGCACTGTGAAAACTAGGAAGTTCAAATTGCTGTATTTTCGAAATGAAAATGGGAACTTGTACAAAGATTTACTTTTTGTTTATCTTCAACCTAGTGTAAATAAGAATTCGTAAAACCTCGCTATTTTGACTTTACAATTTGAGACGTCACAGTGAAAACCATCTATATATTCACCTTAACGGCACCTTAGTCGCAGTACTCTTGCAAGGTTGATAGAGGGGGGTGAATAGGGGTATGCAAATCCGCCGATCCGTGGTATTTTTAGGTCCGATCTGTCGATCCGACTAAATTTTAGTTCAAATCCGAATCCGTGTTACTTTAAAAATTTTTCGTGGTATATAGAAAGTAGCGTTGTAGCATGAAAAAATGAATTACTTAATATAGTTGTTCTGTAATCGCAACAGATGCGGGACTTCATGTTTAAGAAGTTTCCGTTACAGCTTCAAAACATTAAGCATTAGGGACAGAGTTTATAATGTTTCTTCCAACAATACAGATTTGACTAATCAAATAGTCTGCAAGCTGGTATTGCGTAAAAGATTTTTCAATAAATTTACTTGGTTAAAAATAAGCGACGGCATCACACGACTCCTGCACTAAGTCGTCTTGGAAGTAGTATGACCTTCAGAGCTTCGCTCTAACTAGTAGTTCCTTAAGAGATTTTGCCTTGCGATAAGATATGAGGGAGGCTCCTTAAAGATTTCTGTTAGTCGTTGCTGGTTTTGTATAAGGTGCCACTTCCCCATAAGTATTTTCTTCAGGCTAGGTAAAGGGGGGTGGTATTGTGTAACAAAAGGTAGAAGTTTTTTGCGTGCGGATTTGTTTCTTTGTTGCTGGGCTGTTTTCCTGTCGGCAAATTCTACCTTAGAGAGGTACTTTCTTAAAATAACGGCGGGAAGCCTCTTTCTAAGAGGCGGTTGTCAAAATTTCTGATATTCCTCTTAAATGTGATCTGCGAGGAATTAGTCTTTAGAAGCCTGAGCGCTTGCCCTTTGATGAAGCTTTTTTTCACGCCTGGTGGGTGACACGAGTAGAAGGTCGTGTACTGGTATGTTTCTTTTGGTTTATAATGTGTTTGCACTTCTAGGATTGATTCCTTGTCGAATCTTACTCCTTTATACACTTTTGTGTCCAAGAACGTGATCTCTGTTTGTGACATCTCAGCCGTGAATTTTATCGTAGAGTGAAAGTTATTTGCCTTTTTCACAAAACCCTCTATTTTGTCTAGACTTGTGTTCCATAGCGAAACTGAACACATCGTCAATATACCTTTTCCAAAAAAGTGGTTTGATGCAACTCTGACTCAATATTTGTCTTTCTATTCTGGCCATGAAGATGTTTGCAAAAGCAACGGCTATCTTTGTTCCCAAGGCTACACACTCGATAGTTGTAGTTTCCATTTTGCAATTTAGACAATTTAAACGAACGCAGTCAAAGATCTTGTCAAGTCACTTAGCATTACCGCCATTACCTGAACCATGTGTCATCATGAAGGAACCATGCACAAGGTTGCCTGACGTCATTTCCGTCACGCTGTCTGTACTGGAATACATGTATAAGTGTCAGGTTACGAGAAAGTCTCTTCCGGAGACCTCGGAAGTGAAACGTTAGCCGACAAAACACCAGCACATTGACCAAGGCCGACCGAAAAGTGATGATCCGATCCACAATCCGAACTTCTAGAGTGACAGAATCCGGAAACCGGGCCAAAACTTTCAGCTGACCCGCGATCCACGGTAATTTTCAATCCGCGAATCCGCTCGATTTATGGCCGAAATCCTCAATCCGTGAGCTTTTTAAGGCCAAATCCGCCGATCCGCGGACCTATTCACCCCCCTCTTGATACGAGAATAATCGCAAATAAAAACGTTTCCGGCGCAGTTGGAGTGGCGCCACTTAAATGGAAGAAAGATCACTACGTAAAAGTGAATTCGCAAGCAACACAAACGTCTAACGTTTGTTCGATGCCTGATGCTTTAAATTTGAGCAAAGTGTTGTATCCTTGCCGGTGAAATATTCTTCAGAAAAAAAATACAGGTGAATCTAAAGACGAATTGTTTCATGCAGGTTAATCTGGCAAGAAATGTGATTTTCCGCTTTCGTTTGTCAAAACGTACAGTGGACATCATATAAATGAAGACAGTAGTAATTAACAGACCTGTGAGCACAGCATAACTGACAGACAAGGGGTCATATCTGGTCTCGTATAATTCCTTGACACAGGCTCTGAATCCAGAGGTATTCATGTTCTGCAAACATAGCACAATAACTGAGTTTACAGAGGGCAAGATACAGATTATTTGGAAAATCTTTGTCTAGAATTATTGCTTTTGATATCGAAGAAGTCAAAAGACTGCAGAACGATTCGGTAACGTCACTTGACGATCGTAATGGTCTGTGTGAAAAGTTAACGCTTTTCAGGACCTCAAACTGAGTGAATGAAACGGGGTTTAAACAAGGGCACCCAACGACGATTTCCTCCTAAAAACATTCACAATTCTTTTTAGGCTATCCAGAGTACTTTTAGATCTTTAGAAATGCATTTTAAGTGGATCTATAAAATTTGCATCTGTTCGATCATCCTAGGGGAATTTGAGTCTTTTCGAATTAAAAGGGCTTCAGTATTATTTTTCAGAAAATTTTGGATGCGATTTAATGATGTTTTACGAAAGTGAGGTTTTTTCTCAATCCTCTCTCCGTCGCATTTTTGAATCAGAAAACTTTTAGGTTTCCTTTTTCTACGAAAATTAGCCCAACAAGAGGAGTAAAATGTGAGAAGTTAAACTTCAGTAATCGTAGGACATTTATTAGATAAGCCTCGAAAATCGTACCTGAATGGAACGGTCATCTAGAAATTTCTAGTCGTCCTCAAGCAAAAGAAAATTCTAGGCAATATATTTGCTTCTCCGAACATATAATTTAAAGAAAAACGTCGTTGGGTGCCCCTGTTGAACACTTATGTCCAGGTTTGCACGCAGCAGCAAAAATTGTGATTTTTCGTGTGTTGCGAAAAAACGCAAGTCTAACGATTTTTTGCGTTACTTGCGATTTTTGACAGTTCTTTGTCATGTTAATATTTATGGAAGTCCAGAACAAGTTGTCGCTTTAACAAAATTTGACCATCACGCCTCCTGAATTTAACCCATAGACGTCCGAGACTTTCAGGGTTTAGAGTGATTTTCTACATATAAACAATCCATAGGATTTCGTGAATCCATAATTGGGGTTACCATGGAAATTGGTGCTGTTCTATAAAACTGAAGGCTTGAGTTTTCTGGAAACGTCATTCTGACGAAGTCATTTTGCTTCGTTGAGCTATAATAACGGCTGAAGTTTTGATTCTACGCGATTTTTGGTACTTTCACAGCCATATTTCATCTTTTAAGTGCCTGCCTGATGAGCATCAATAAGCTTGACGGTAGCCAAGAGTCCACGTTGTCAACGAAGCGAGTAAGGTGATGAACTTCGTTTGCGAATTTTGCTTGTTGCTCGTGTAACTGGCATGGAAAAATAACGGCCGCTCCGAAACGAAGTAGCTTTGGGACTCGACTACTGATAAACTTCTTGACCTGCCACGGCACATATTTAAGAATTTACGACCACTGAAAATGACAACAAGCGCCAAATTTTAGTGGTAGGTCAGAGTGGCAGTAGATTTTATACAAATATGAAAAAAAAAATCAAAATCTTTTGGCTATTTCCTAGCATGCAGTTCAGTCATGATGTTGAAAATCGAGCCAAGGCCAGGCTGCACTAGAACAAAACGCTATATTTCCAGGAAACAAAGAAGAACAAAAAAAGTCACTTCTAAGCTAGAACAAGAACTGAATTTTACTGTGAATATAATGGTGACTTTTTTTTGCAACGATGATTTCTCAAAACAAAATCCTGAAGGCAAAACACGGGATTTTTGTCGTTTTTCTACGACGTTAAAAACGGTCATTTATTTGCTCTTGTCCAAATTCAGAAGGTGATATTTTGCAAAAAGCGCATTTTTGCGTTTATTCAAGATATCCCTATTTGAAGGGCATTGTACCCAATGCTTGTAACTGACAGTTAAGGCAATGCTCGCGGAATTGAGAAAGTTGCAATGTTGCAGTGTAGTCTTGTACGGCCAGTTTTGGCCGGCAAGGCCGTCGATGGTTAACGTTATTGAATTTTATTTTGATCACATGCTTTTCCTAGATATGGCGCAGTTTGCAATACAAAGTCGAAAAAACAAGTAAGCTACACCTATATATGGCCTCCAGTCTGCCAGTCTGTTTAATTTTATCCTTCGCCGAGTTTTGGTTTGAAACTTGTTTACTAGGACACATCACTATAATACGCTTTAAGTGAGAAACAATCTTTACCTCGATCCACGTGGTAATTCCGTTATGAATCGGACCTGAATTCCCAGATACCGTCGTACTGTGATTGGCTGAGACAAGCACTGTCGGGGTCGTGTTATAAACTCTCGTGAATGAAACGAACTGCAATATAAGAGAAAAATACAACGCTTGAGACACTATTTCCTGATCATTATAAGCTTGAAGTACCTCGATTTTTGTTGTTGTTGATGTTTTTTGGTTTTTTGGTTTTTGTTTGTTTGTTTTTTTTGTTTCAGAAGTTTGTGTTTAAGTCAACGTTGGACATTATTTGAAATTAATCATTTTATCAGGACGAACTACCAACTTTTTTATGTATATTTGAAACATTGTTTTCTGTGACAGCATCTTGATTTTTCTCGTCGCTTTATAAGAGATTTTCCGCGATCTTTACTGCATATGACTACAAGTGTTTTGAAAATATTCAGTAATATATTAGTAAACGATGTTTTTTTGGAATGCTGTGAACAGCATTCTACCTGAGATGATGAAAGAGATGAAAAAGTGTGATTGAGTAATCCTATGCTCACCTCGCAATAAGCATTGTTCATTTTATCCAAAGGTGGGTTCGTATTTGGAAAACTTATGGCGCCATGTTCCGTGAAAAGAGGCTTGTGCAGTTTGGAGAAGGCAAACCAGTTCTGTGAAAAGAGAACAAAAAAGGAGATCAGAAGCCCATGCCATCCCTAATTTGCAAATATCGTATCATCCTCACCAAAAATTTATGAAACCCAGTATTCTTTAGGCCCGTTTAAATCCTAGCATTTTGAGCTCTATGGAGTGGTGACCAAGGAGAGAACGCAAGACGTCACAATTTCCCAAAACACCAAGAGCATCGTGTAAGAGCATAAAAGGAAGCATGAGGACGAGGCAAAGCAATTCATTTCTATTTTTTTCCCATTTTTGTTACTTTCCATGTTCTTCCTCCTTTATACGAATGCTTTTAATTCATATATTTATTTTATTTATTTGCCTCACAATAATTACAATAAATATAGGAAAAGAAGAAAAAATAAAGTGGCGAGGAGACCTAACAGAAACGTTAACTATAGGAGCTTATGAGAGGTTAGGCCTCCTCGAACTACGGGTTAGAGCTGTTTAACATCAAATGAAGAAAAGGTGGCGAAAAGTCGAGGGTGGAAAGATTTATGAACTGTTTTCTTATTTACTCAATAATTTAATCTTCAGTTTTTTTAAAAAAAAGAGGAAAGGGATTGAGAGTTGATGACCTCGTTGTCAAGTGAATTAGTGTTTGTACGACAATACGGTAGACGGTAGGCCTGGGAATTTCTTGTATTGTAAGAGTGGAATTGATTGCTTTGGGGAAAATTGTTATTAAACCTTGGAGATAAGAATGAATTTTTGCAAGAATACATAAATTGGCCCAGTTGAAGCAAACGGATATCATTAAATTTTAGTATACCGATCGCTATTATAGTTTACAAACCATTCCTCATGAACTGTGTAAACAATGGTGTTCTAGTTTCTTTAAAAACTAATAACGTACCACAGTGATATCTTGGTGTCTACCGTCAAAGTTTTGCATTTCACGAAGACAGATTTTAACTGAGTCCTTTGTTAAGTCTTCAATCCAAATGAGAGCAGCATCATACTCTTTACCAGTCCTCAGGTGCTCTGACGTCACAAGGACTATTGGCGCCTCAGGAAACTTTCCCTGAAAAAAAGAAAAATATAACAAAGAAGCAATAGCAACCAAAATGGCTTTTTATTGCATCCTTGAAATATTGCTGCACGTGAAATTCACTGCTAGTAGGCAAATCAGCCTATCCTCACTTTATATGGAATCTTTCTATGTTTCCTTTCCTTTTCCTTCCTTTGTGTGATTTTCGGGCTTACGAGATCGGAAAAACCTACTCTTTGGCCCTTTCCCACCCGAATGGCGGCAAATTTTGCTAGGTTCATTTCGAATTAAAAAATCCAGCTAGATTTATTGAGCTATTTCTGTTTGTTTTGACTAACTTCGTTTGGAAGACGTGGATCAAGCTGTAGTGGCGAATAAAAGTCTAAGATGTTCGTCCTAGGATACTTTCATTGCAACAATGAGTTAAATTTGTAGGTACAAAAATATTTCCGTCTTACCGAAGGAAACGTTACATCTGCGCAGTTGGTACCAGACCACCATTTCTGCAACTCAACCGTTCCCGTCAATCCTTCGGGCGGTGCTCCTTGATAAGCCACCCAATCAATGGTGGCAAATGGATTCGCGCCTTCTTCTTTCCTCCCCGTTTGCATCACACAGACGGTGAAGTTTTTTGTGTTGATACTTTCTGTCCATGAAGTAACAGCGTCGTGGACTGTCACAGAGTCATTCAGCTTCATGTGATTGACGGTTATTTGAACATGAACTTGTTTATCCGGATAAAACCGGTATGGAGGAAATGTGACTGTCTGACAGTTTGAATCTGACCATTTTGGAACGTGTAGCAGATCTACACGGTCCCGTACAATTGGAAAACCTGTTTTGTAATAAATTAAGTACTTTATAAGGAAGCATCACTGTGCTCTTTAAGCATTATCGCTTACGTAGCTTCCCTAGCTTGCGTTGTGGCGCAACTCTAAGTGGTGAAGGGTGGTGATAAAAAAGCGTGGAAATGGAACTAAAACTAGGCTGTAATTTGCAATGTCGGCTACCTTTCAACAACGAAATATATAGTGGCTGCTTATTATTGCATGCTGGTTTCAGTGCCCAAGGTAAATATATGCCAGTATAAAGATAAACATATGCCAGTATATTGGAGGAGGCCACCAAAAAAATATAAATCAAAAGCGTACCTGATGACATGTACGCGTGGGAGTGCAAGCCACTGCGCGAAATATTTGATTTTCAGCAAATTTACTCAGTGCTAATAAGCTCGAGTGATTTAAGGCGTGGCTCCTCGCTCCATTTTGGGCTTTTATCAGTTTTTCTTTTATTGTCAGCCATCTCTTTTCACTTTTACTCAAACATATGTGCTTAAGACTGGAACCATTTTTGGACCTCACACTGTGTCTCTTGAGGTCACGTGACCAGCCAGGCCCATAATTATGCAAAATTTATTATTTTTAGATTACGCCATAAAAATGACTGTTGAACGATTGCGAGGCTAATGCGGATCAACTTCTTTACAAAGACAAAAACAAACATAGGCAATTTGCCGCGGAGTCGCTGGAAAATGATAGAAATCTCAAAAAAAAGTGAGATCTCTTGTTAGAACGCTTGATCCACAAGCACATTATGAAGTATCTGACTGACTTCCAACTGCTTAACGACAATCAGCATGGATTTAGACCATCAAGATCTTGTGTTACCCAGCTACTGCAATTAGTACATGAGTGGTTTCAGGCCTTGGATAAACTTGGATCAGTTGATGCAGTGTTTTTGGACTTTTCCAAGGCTTTCGATAAAGTCTCCCATGCCCATCTACTCTACAAATTGGAATGCTATGGTATCAAAGGCCAGATTTTAAATAGGTGAAGGGATTTTCTCACGTCAAGGAAACAGCGTGTAGTGATTGAGGGTCAAGCATCTGACTGGTTAAGAGTTACATCTGGTGTGCCCCAAGGCAGTATACTTGGGCCTTTGTTGTTCCTTGCATACATCAACGATCTTCCTTACTCAGTAACCTGCAACTCAGATTTGTTTGCTGACGATACTGTCCTTCATTGACGCATAGAAAATAGATCGGATTGCGATCTACTTCAAGAGGATTTGACATCTGCCTCTGAATGGTGCAAGAGTTAGCTGGTTACTCTTAAGACCGAGAAGTGTGAAGTCCTACACATTACACGGAAGAATGGTCCAATAAGATGTCAATATTCGTTGAGCAACATCTTACTACCGGAAGTGGACCACCACAAACACCTGGGACTTTGGTTGGAGTCGTCTTTATCATGGGATTATCACATTAACTCAATTTGTGCTAAAGCTAACAAGGTGTTGGGCTTGATTAAAAGGGCATTTGGTTATTCAAACAAGACTGGTATCAAGACAGCTTTCAAGGCGTTAGTGATACCTATCCTCGAGTACGCCTGTCCAGTCTGGAATCCTTATCTGGTGAAACACACCAAGGCAATTGAAGCAATTCAGAGAAGAGCGTCCCGACTAATATGTGACCTCGATAAAGAATATCCTGAAAGATAGAACTTTAGAACTGAGAAGGAAATATCTTAGCCTAGTTCAAATGTATAAGATTATATTTGGTTACTGTGATATCAATTGCCATCATTAATTTGACATTATTGGAATAACTCGAACTAGAAGTAAGCATGAGTATAAAATAAGGCCTAAAGTTGCCCGTACAAATTATTTTAAATATTAATTTTTTCATAGATATATTAATGATTGGAACTCTTTGCCTTCTGAAGTAATGTCATCTCCTAGCCTTCAGTCTTTTGAAGTTTCACTGATTAAGTACCTTCGCTCATAATTTACCTTAAAATACTAGACATGGTGTCTTTAATATACGTTTATGCATTATTATTAGGCATCTACGTTTATAATTTATAGTCTAATTTATAGTCTTTTAATATATGTTTATATATTAATTAATTTTTTTTTCTTTTTTTCTTTTTTGGAGGGTATGTTTTAGCATGGGAATTTGGTTTCCCCCTACTACCGTCCTGTTAACCATTTTTGTATTTTTGTTCGATTGTATATGTTAGTATTAGTTCATTTGTATCAGTTATGTATGGTTACGAACTGTGATTAAAGATTAGAGATTAAAGATCTCAAAGCTTAAACTTTACCAGTAAGCCAAAGGGATATCTGTTGCAATTAAACAACAAAATTGTGGGAAAAGCTGATCGTACTTAACAGAAGAAAGAAAAAAGCGACGAAGCCAAAAGAAGAAGTAAACTTTTTAAGCTTCAAAAGTGTAAAGTTTGTTAAAATGACAATATTTTATTCCGTTTAATTTTCTTACCTCTTAGTATTCTACCTAACTCTTGTGTATATATGTAAAATGGAGCTTAAACTGCTCAGTATATCTTTTGTATAAAACTCTGTGTTCGAGTTCTTGTCGAGTGAAATGTGCGAACGCTTTTCTTTATGTGCAAGGAATTTATGCAAAACGTCTGCCCCGTCGGTTTATTTTTTTTTAAAATACACAAGATTTTGCATTCGCTCCGTTAGAAAAAATGTCAATTATAAAGAAGGTTTCAGTTTAACTTGCAAGCTTTCGACAAGTACGTGCACTCCCTACCAATGGAAGGTATGGCACCACTAAAAAAAACATTAAAATGTCTTCAGGGTATAGCCTTGTTTAAGGATTTTGAAACCATCTTCGCATTCTTAGTTAAACTCACTCACCGACCACTATTTTGATCAATTTCTGGTTATGCTGGTTATGTTTGTTAGTGGTGACGAGCTGATTTTCTTTTTGCTGCTTGAAACAATCATGATTTCTCAATCCTGTAAGTAAGTTTTGAGACCTCCAAAACCTTTTAACGTTTCAAATTTTCCTATTTTTTGCCAACTCAACCGCAGTTTTCACATGTTTGTTTGTCTTCTTGGTGAGAAGTTACCCGCATTAGCCTCGCTTTCGCGCAAAACAAGGGCTCGTCCCAGGACCGTCGGGGAATACGAAACTTGCCTATTATCAAATGTTTTCTCCTCGACCCAGTCCCACTCTCGACTGGAAACGTTATAATTCACTCAAAACAAATAAATTTGAAAAAGCCCTATTAATTCCAGAAACCGTGTTTTAATATTTCTTGAAGGAAAACAAAATAAATCACAACTAGCATTTGTAAAATGTCGTAAAATTGGACCGAACTAAATGGCAGAAAAATGGGCGTGACAAGTCACGAGACTAAGATAGCTCATTAGAGACAACGGATAAGAACATTTTGTAAGAAGTATTTACCGCATGCAAAGTTTCAAGTCGCAAAGTGAAATCTCCTTTAAACTAGACCAACCCCTTACAAATTTCAAGAGACTTGTTCGTTAATTCACCCGAGAGGTGCAAAAAAGTGCAAACGAGGATGAAATCAAGGGCAAATATAGTAAATACTGCATTTGCCCTCAAATATGCAACTCCATGTAAACTGGTATGTAAATGTGATATTTACCACCTTTGTCTTTGATTTCCTCCTCTTTTGCACTTTTTTTGCACCATATTTGCCCTGGGCAAATTTGTGTAATCTAATTTTACGCCATAAAACTAGATTGCAAGACAAAAGAGAATAAAAGATCTTACGCAGATCAAACATCGGCTATAGTCTGGGCTGTTACATGTTTGTTTGCCAAAGTAGAGAGACGAAGTAGCTTGTTACAGCTGTCTGTTGTTGCTTAGCCTGCGTTAGGAGCTAAAAGCGAGCTTAAAAGTAATGAAAAGTTATAAACATCATAGCTAGAAGCCGATAAAATTTTGAGCCAACACCTATGATTCTAAGCGATGGAGAGCTTAACTGCCCGACTATTTTATGTGGCATATACAGCCAAAAAAATCGTTGAAATTATTTTTCGTTACCTTCACAACTTCCTGGGTGATAGACCAGATTATTTTCAAGTCCTCTGCAATAGCTTAACTTAAGCCAGCATCGGTTGTCGTAAGTTGTTCCGTTTGCAGTGCACACTGGGTCTTTATATGAGGGGCATTGGTCATCGCACTCACACCGAGCGTCATGCGCACTGTAGGTCCTGCAGACTCCAAACCGTGGGCAATGCACATTAAGGCAAGGATTAAGGTCTGTACCAAGAAAAAAGAAACATTGAGTAGTTATCCATTTGGAAACAAACATAAATGTCTAATATATTTTTCATGTTTGAATTAAAACTAAGTTACTGCTCAGTAGTAGTAGCATGTTTGCTTGTAGGTACGTCAACTAATGTTGTTGTTGTTTTTTTTTTATCCTTAGTAGACCTTATTAACGATACCCGCCATCTTTGCACGCGCTTAAGGACTGATGGAATAAATTAAACCAATGTTACGTGGTTTCTCAGGTGGCAAACAAGAGATAAAATCAATAAATACAAGAATGCAGTCGAGTTTGTTTTAATTATCTACACAATAGAAAATTAAGAAGTTTTGACCTTAAAAAAATGAAAATCGCAAAATATGGGTGGAAGTGATTTTGAATGCAGTACGCAACAGTAGAAATCTTTACAGCAAGGAATTATGACGTAAAACTTGTCGAAGTTTACGCTTTGCATTTTGCATGACTAAAATCGTCGTCTTATTTTGAGGGAATAAACAAACCCGACCGGAATTACTCGATTACTCGTATTTGCAATTTTATTACTTGTGTGCCCTGTAATTGCTCTTATCCCATCAATCTTAAAGTACGTGCAAAGATAGAGTGTAACATGAATAAGGTATATCAGTGTTTGTACTCCAGCGTTTCTTTAATTACATCATGAAATGTATTCCTACATATAAGAACTTCTAAAAGATGTCAATAAAATTAGTAGTAATAATGATAATAATAATAACAATAGTTTTTAAGAGAAATAGCGATCATTACAATAGGAAAATTAATCAAGAACCTCCAGTAACAGCGTAGCTGACAATCAAGGGATCATGACTCGATCCTAATCCACTGAGGTCTTTAACGCAGACCTTCATAGATTCTAATCCAACTTCCTACAGCAAAATGTGATAGCACTCATCAGTTACTAGAAAATCCATAATTTCTTCTTGCTTTCTAGGAAGATACCTTTAAGTCATGAAATTCATGGATCGGATCCAAATTATTGGTTTCTTATGGCTCTTTCACAGTTTTCACAGTCCTTTTACAAATTTACTAGAATAAACAGATTTCGTCTCTCCCCTGATTGAACAAGGGATATGGGCTTTTGGGTCTCAAAGGTGTGGTGAGAGTTCAAGCAAACAATTGAATAACGTAATGTACCAAAGCACTGAAAAAATCCCTATTCATTATCATTAACCTCAAGTGACCATCAAGAATATAACCCAGTGAAGAAATTTGACCCCGTTTCATGACGTAATTACTGGCTTTTAAATGAAAATACGTCTGAAGGAACGAGCGCAGAAATTGCGTACTGATGATGTGTCACTACGCAGAGCTGGGCAGGCAGTGCTTTTGATTGGTTAAAAAAAAATTATTTTGCAGCATGACCAATCAGAAGCACTATCTTGATCTGGGAAGTACATGTCATCAGCATGGAATTTCTGCACTCTTCCACAGACGTCTTTTCACGAGAAAGCCAGTAATTGCGTCGTGAAATTGGGTTTTCGGGGTTCAGTCCTCATTTTGTGGGAAAACTGGAGGTGGCGTCGCGCAAAATGTCGGGCGGACTGTTTTCTCAGGTTCGAATAAAAAGGCAAACTTACCTCTAGCCAGGCTGAAATTATATTATTTTCTGGAGGACGACTTCCCTTGACCTTAAGATTATACTCATGATTTACGGAAAGAATCACAATTGGCGATTTGTAAAAGGTCGTATTGAAAGGCACTTCCTGTAAATAGGTAAAAAAAGTCATGTAATTTAGTAAATTTATGTGAACGTGCTCACTTCTCCCTCTATTTTTGCCCATCTTCTGTAAAGTCCCCACTTCTAATATTCGCCCATTGTCTACAACGCGAAATTGAAGACATTCGAAATATAAAATTCTCGCTAAGTCACCAAATTAAAGAATCGCGAAATATGCGCACATCAAAATTGCGAGATAAACATGTCGCGCTCATCTGGGAATTGCCATTTTGGATACAATGTCGATTACCATGGCCTGGTAAGCTTGGGTTTACTGTATTTTAAGTTTTCTTTAGCGTGAATTTAACCACTAAACAATCAGTGTTCTTTGGCTTGCTAAATGTTCTTGTTAGAACTAAAGTTTTCACCTGACAGAAGCCGTGGTTGTTTTTGGCCGATGGATTTCCACTGTTTGGAAAGATTTCCTCCCCAGTTATCGTGAAATTAAGTTGACTCCCATTTCCAGTGAATGCAAACCAGTCCTGTGGACAAGAAAATAATGTTTAATTTGCTACCCTTTTCTTTACAAGATGAGTTGCGTCAGGTTTCGAACCACATTTCCTTTAACAAGAAATGACTGCATGAGACACGTGAGACACGACACCGACCTTAATTGCGTCAAAAACGTTCTGGGTAATAGAGTTTCCGGGCTGCCGAAGTGTGGCAAAGTCAAGTTTTTTTGTTTGGTTGTTTGGTTTCATCAATACTATAGTTTACTCGGACATTTTTCTTCACTTACCACAACTGCATCTTGGTGTTTTCCATCAAAGGGCAAGAATTCCCTTAAGCACACTTCAAATCCTCCAGAGTTGACGTTCTCTAACCATAAGTACATAGCTTCATTTGGCTTTGTGCTGCGTGTGTACTTAACAGAGACAAATACACGAGGCTTGGAAGCAAAGCTCTGCAAAAAGATGTTAGATATATGAAAAACTACTGACTGAAAAATAAATAAGCTTCTCGAAAGATAAATCAGCAGGAACGATTTATCAAAGGCTAAGGGGAGAAGATTAATCAAATCTACTTGTCTATTCACATTAACTCAATTTTCTACCCCTCTTTCACCTCTTTCTACGAAGTGTTAAAAAGGTTGGTGAATGCATCTTATCTGGCCCATTACTTAAATAAAGTTACAAACAACAATGTTTCTTTTTGGCCAACTTTGTTAAGTTTAATGCTAAAAATTTGATATCATTAAATAAATAGACTTTTATTTTTCAAATTCCCTTTAACACATCAATACATTCAAAACGGTCAAGCATTATTCAATCACTACCTCCAAAGTAAAACGTGAAAATGGCTTATCTTGAGGCGAGGGAAGGAAAAGTTTGAAACTAAGCCCGAGAGAAAGCTTAAAAAGACGTTTAGCAGTGGACTCTGCTATGAAGAGCAAATTCCGGATATTAATTAGTGATCATTTGTTTTAGAACTACTTTCTGATACTATTTCATTTGTTTCTACTATTTAATTACGTTTTACACCTTTGTAACAAAATTGTATACTTGTTATCAATTATTGTTATCTAACCTGAGAAATGGCCACCTTCTCACACTTTGTTTCTGTTGTCCATATTCCGCTAAAAGTAACGCTTCCATGCGTTAACATGGGTTTGTCCTGAAACGCTACCCAGTTGATAATTCCAGTGTCATTTGTAGAACCTGTTGAACGTGAGCATAACTGAAATCCAGCTGTACTAACGGACTCTGCCCACACAGCGGAAGGCGAATGAAGAACTGAAGACTGATCTTCATGGCTTAGTGACACAAAAACTCGAACCTGAAATACGTTAGGTAAAGACAGGCATCAATGAAAATTTAACAGGCGACAACTCCACCCTAGACTATGAGCAGTCTCTCTTTTTTCCCAATCCGTCGAGCGAAACGCGTGAGACACGCGTGACCTTGCGCGTGACTGAAGCCGCGAGAATGCTTCCCTTGTTTCTCGCGTCTGCTCGACGCTTCCGCGCGCGTTTACTCCACTCACTAAAATTAATCTGAAGAAAAAGAGAGTCTAGCTAATCCCCCATTTCCCATTTCATGGAATTGAGATCTTCTATATTTATCGTCAGAATCTTCCGGCTTTTTGCATTTATTTTGTTCTGTTTTGTTTCGTTCAAAAACACATCCCAGGGATTAGAAACACTTAAGCATACCTATGCGCACCAAATTCGCTGACGTCAAAGCATCATAAAACCACAAGTACTTTGGCAAATCAAAATTTGTGAAGAACATTAGATTTTTAAAGAAGCTTAATGTGGTTCACTTACAAAAGAAAGTTACCCCGAACCCTGAAGATTAGACTATAAGTTGTAATTGCTTAGGGTTTACTTACGGTTCCAGATCCACTAAACGTTTGCGGAAATACCACATTGGTGCAGCGTGGTAGTGTACAATGTTGTGGCGCCTCACATCCGCTGTTGCAATTCCATCCTTGACGTGTCTCTGATGCGTTTAGTTTTCCAACTTGGTAGGAAATACCTGAAAATGAGTAGAATGTGGCTTGAAATTAAGGAGAGGCGAGGGGCGTGTCTCAGAGCGGCTGTGTTTTAGATGTGGAAATTAATTCCTTGCGAAATATAATGTGAAGATGGAACTGTTCGGTTCCCCTTTATTTATTTTTGTGAATTATAAGCCATTTTTTTTTGTCAAGGATTTTATGAATTTCTTTTTCATATAAATAGCGCGGTAAAAACGTAACTTGGCCTAGTTCTATTTAAATACAAAAAAAAAAAAAGACAATAAACGACTCAGTCTACCGTCGAGTTGCACAGGACCGAAAAATGCGCTAAAAGAACGCTTTTCATTTGTATCATAGAATGTTTGATTGTCGTTATGTGAAGAAAATTCAGGAAGACGAATTCTACGATATATACTTCAGATAGTTTACATTTAAAATAACCAAATTGCTCTTAATCGTAAAATGGTAATGGATAAGTTGGCGAATTGTATATCTGGCCAGATATCTGGCCAGCTCGATATAGACGCACGCTGAGACATTTGGCGACAAATAGTTTTAGGAAAGTAATATCAAATTAAACAAAAAAACTGCACACTTAGATACCATCCTATTGAGGTTGTCTTTGTTTTGGTTTGTTGTTGTCATCAAGCTTCAATGTTTCACTCTATTCCGAAGTCCATCCCACTGGCAAAGTCAAATTGCTTGGCAATTCTCTTTAGAATTGCTTCAAGTCTCATTTCGACTCTTCTAGCTACTTTTTTGTTTATGTTCAGTTATTCCACTTGAAAGCAAATCTAAATGTCTTGATTCTGGTCACGTTACACGTGCACAAACGTTATCAGGTGATCTCGGTTCCTTGCACCAAAAGGGTAAGGGGCAATGACATACAGTTATCGTTGGTTGGATTAAAACAGAACTCTACGAAGTAAGAAATCTGTAGATCGGTACCGTGAAGTACGGGAATCATGGGAATGACTGACTCGGAAAAATAAAAATCAAAAATATAAAACTTGTTTAAGGATTTCTGTTAAATGCGGGTCGCTGAACTGACAGAAATAATTACTATTCCTTCAAAAATTTGAAATATATTAAAACTTCCGCATTGCGTCAGAATGTGGGTGTGGAGTCTTAAGGGCAGGTTTTTCAAAGATCTCACCCCACTGGCAAAATCGTAAGTTTTGAAATCTTAAAACTCCCAAGTCATTTCAGGATATGAAACATGGGATAAATGTTTATCCCTTTTTTTCGCGTTTCTTCGATCCAAGTGGTAACCAGACTACAGACCTGACTGTTCTATTTGTAGATATTTTGACAGAGTTGCGGCAAACAAATAAATGGGCCGAGAGCTTTGAAATATAGTCATTTTCCTGGTAACATTGCTTTTGCATGTAGAGGATTCGCACATAACGAGATGATAAACACATCGAATCGACTTAACAATTCGTCAGCTCCGAGAGCACTGATTTAGTTACTTAAAAGCGAGATGGAGTGGCGGTTGTCCCCCCCACATTTGTGAACAAATCACTATGATGATTTCAAATGATCTAACATCCAGACCTTCTTGCCTTAGTTGAGATCTAAAACAAGTATATTCCCTAGAAAAATGTCAATGAAATAAAAAGTCTTCGACCGAGTTGAATTGGGTTTAAAGACATTGAAGTTTAAGAATTTAAAAACAATTGCTACTAAAAAAAGTAACATTTTTGTCAGGTATAAGAACCTACACATGTAGATTGCAACGAGCAAAGATGAAAAGAAGAGCTGTGTACCTTCTACAGTTGTAGCGAGAATCCCCAGGTTCAAGAGAAAGGCAAAAAAGTTAAATTTCCTGAGGTCCATCCTGCTGCTGAATCTAGAGGTAATGGCCTGTCGACAGGTGGGGGTTTTGTTTTATGGGCTCAGTATTCTCTTCAAATCTTCTTACCAAGTAAAAGCAAGGTGACTGGGTTATAAAAGCGCAACATGACGCATATCACAAAAACAACAATTTCATATGACAACAAGTAGGCGTCACTGTGTACTTTATAATATTTTTAGTTAATAGCTAGCTTAGCAGCGGTTGAATAAACAGGAAGAATAACAAAAGCATGACCAGTGACTTTTTCCACTACATGCAAACCAAATAGATCTACTGAAAATGATACGTTTTGTCTTTGTTTTTACTTATTTCATAAACAATGCAACTTTAATAGAACAGGGGTCTCGCTTTGTCCTAATGTGCAGTGTGAAATTGACCTGTCTGTGAAAATAGTTCAGATTATCAAAATGTTTTTTAAGCGCAATTCTTTCAAATGAGCAGCTTCTTAGATATTCCACCAGAATTAATGTATTTGTACCGCAACGGCCACGATAGTTTACAGTCTGTTTCCTAAACTTTGTATTCCCCGTGTAGGGGTAGCTAGGCTGGCAAAACCTGGAATGTAACTGAGAGCTGAGTTTTCCTGAGGTTTTTACACGTGCGGGATGCCACTTCGAGCTTTTTAAAAAGTGTTATTACTACACTTTACAGTTTTCTAAAAAAACAACGAGAGACGCTGCAAAC